TTTTATTTATATTTATCATTTTATAGCTAAATATATAAAATTTTATGATTTATATATAAGAAAATTTATATTATTTTATTGTTATAATACCATAATATTTTAGGCAGAAAAGCGGTAATCGTCACGGTCTATAAGGGTCTAGCGCCTAAGTACCGTCTAGACGAACGCATAGAATGCTTTTTAGAACACTGATTAAAATACACTAAACATACAATATTAATTAAAATTAATTAACTTGATCCGAAAGTATTCTATTTTTTAGAAACCAAAAACTGAAAAACTCGAACCCAACCAAACCGATTTAAAAATTAAAACCAAATAGGATCAGTTTTATAGAAACCGAAAAACCCAAAAACTCGTACCGAATAACCAACCGAATGCCAACCCTACCAATTTCTCTTTCGTTTTTTTTGACTAATATCTGTCCCACAATTTTTATTCTATCTTTTTGGGTCTGAAGCTACGCCAAGATTTTGTAAATTAGCTGTTCCTTTTGGTAAATTAAATTAAACTCACATATTATCAGTACAAAAACTCAATAAATTAAACTCACATATTATCAGTACAAAAAAATCAAGAACCAATACATGTGAAACAATTTACAGCCAAAAACAAAAGTCAGTCGCTATGATTTAGAGGTGTGACCATAGCCTTTTGAAGAAGTTCATAGCCAGCTAAGTTCAAGGCTCCAAGAGGAGCAGTCCAGAAGAACCTTGGAACAGCTCCTTTGTAGAATGCAAGAGGTCCCTCTTTTGTTACAATTAAGTAAGCAGCCATCCACATAGACAAATCCACGCCTTGTGGAGCCGTCATCATTCTCGTTTTAATCACATCGAAAGGCGTCGTTAGGACAGCCGTGAAACCACCGGACAATGCTCCAACCGCGATAGCTTCCCACGGCTCCAGCTCTCTTCCTAATTGTCTCTCTACAACCTTTCGAAAACTCAAACCCACCCCCATGTCAATAAGTTTTAGTTCTCTGTTCAATACACACATAGATGTATGTATGTATGTATGTGGATTGTTCTGTTTAACGAAGATTACCTTCTTTGATTCGTTGTAAAGTCCCATGCCAGCAACGTAGAAGGGAACCTCGCGTAAAAGAGTAACCCCCGTCCCACGAAAAAGTCCTTTGAGACCATCTTGATGCCAAGTGGAAACCGTAGCTTCCACTATGTTATCAAACAGGTTGGCTTGTAACCGTTGTTTCAACACCTCACACGGTATTCGCAGTGTTGTCCCCAAAACTGTGCCAACAAAAGACGCGATTGACTGAACCTAGAGAATCAAGAAGACAGATCAAAGGAAGAAAGATAGATATATGTAAGCATAAAGTTCGGAAGAAAACGAGCTTTTTAATAACTTGGATGTCGAGGAGAGAAGGAGCAAAGAGCGGTAATGCGAGTTTACTTGCTTCATATATACTTGTTCGTAAACCATGGCTGCAAAATGTTGAAACAAGAGATGAAATAATTACGATGATGGTTCGTTCCTAATAAGCAAAAAACCCAAAGTGAGCACATATATATAGGAGATGGAAGAACCTTGCAAATTGACCAACAACCGCAGGAATAGAGCCCTTGTATAAACCTCGAGCACCAATCTCTGGGATCTTGGACAGTATTTGGAGAAATGACAATGTTGTTGATGCTTGAACTTGTGTCTTATTATGATTCAAGAGCAACAAAACATGAGTAATGAAGAACAATCTCACTAACTACTAAACAAGAAGCTTAGGTGCATCAATCAGAGATAAATATATATACCTTGACAGTGTCCACAGGATGCATTAGAAAAGCAGAGAAGGCGCATGAGATTCCTCCTGCAAGTGCAGATTTGAGAAGATGACCAACATCTAATCCGGCTGATTTGACCAAAGGAGCTGTATCGTTGGATCTTGAAGTAAATCTTGCAACTTTTGCAAACTTTATAAAGGTAGACGCATCTGAATTCGTGTTGGGTTTTTTCGGAGAAGTTACGAAGAAATCATTGAGAATAGAGAGTAGTAGAGATTCAGGTGATACATGTTTTCTTTTGATAGCTTTATCCGCCATTCTTGATTTCAGCGAATCTACGGATAAACTCATTGGTTAACACGAAGGCATCAGAGGATAGATCGGTAACGATGCGAGAAAGAGTGTGATTTAACACCAAAGGCGCATCTGATTCTCGATTTATGTTAAGTTTTCTTTAAAACTATATTATTATTATTAGCACAAGCAACAAGGCCTATGAGGTGTTCGACGAAATGACAAAAGAGTTAGGATTTATCAAAAAACAAATCCTACTTGGTGAATTAGGCTAATCTAACAACATGCTTAGTGAGATTGATTGAACCAACACCAACACGATCATGCC